TGATTACCTGGCCTGGGGTCTCTGCCTTCTCTCATTTCCCTTGCCCCTGTCTCCTCCCCTCCCTGCAACAGCCCTCTAGCTTGGGGGCTTGTTAGAGTAGACATGAAGGTTTCAGGTCACAGCCTGTGGGACTACTGCTGAGTGTGTGGGGTGCTTTGTCTGCACTCCTGATTTCTTTAAGTCTTAAATGATGCCCCCTTCCAAGCCATCATCCCCTTCCCACTCTCCTCCACTCCCACCCTTGGCCAAAGCATAGATTGTAACCCCTCTGCTCCCCTCTGAGATTGGCCTTTGGTGAGGAATTCAGGGCTTTCCCCGTATCTTCTCTCCCCCACCTTTATCAAGGGGTGCTGCTTTCTCCTCCCTCCTCCTCAAGTCCCTCTTTGCACTGTCACCACCCAACACTTTCCATGACACTTCCTTGCTTTGGCCAAAAGTCATCAGGTAAGGGTGGAAAGAGTCTCTGACCTCCCTTGTTTAGTTTTGGAATCGCATTTATTCACTCCACCAGCCTAGGAAATGAATTGGGTCCTCAGCCCTGCCACCTCTGCTGTCATCATCAGCTGATGCATTGTTTTAGCTCAGGTTTTGATAAGGTGAACAGTCACCAGGGTTACGCAGACCTGCCAGCGAGTCCTTGGTAACTTGGAGAAAGCCCACATGAAGACACTTGTAAGCACACACCCTCTCTCTGAATTGTTTTATTTTCCTGTAATTGCTTTTGCTTTTAAAAATCAAAGAAGTTTTAAACAGGGCTTTCATTTTGTCATCCTTGCAATCAATTGGGGTCTAGTTTGGAATTTGACAACTGGAACAAAAAAACCTTGAATTCAGTGCATACTTTGGTTTTGGTGCTGCTGCTTCTCACCAATCCTCAGCAGGGATCCAGAAAGAACTGGTGAGCACAGCTGATCCCCAAAATTGGTGGGCTTGACTTCCTGGCAAATGGCTGCATTCTTTCACATTCTGTTCAGGACCACTAAATGCTGAAATGTGGATGCGTACCGAAATAAAAGCAATTCATTTGTGTACTAAAGGTTTTTTTTTTCTTTCTTTTTTTTTTTTATTGAATGGTAACTATGTACATTAATGCACTTCCGGGGTACAGTGTGGGGTTTTCACACACAATCCAAAACACTTCCATCAAACTGGTTAATATAGCCTTCGTGGCATTTTCTTAGTTATTATTTTAAAACGTTCACATTCTGCTCTTAGAAAGATTCACTTGTACCCTTGTAAGATAAACCTCAGAAGTGATCCCTCCCCCTTCCCGTATTCTTAGGCTGTTATTAGGTTATACCTTACATATAAAAGGTATAAATTAGTTTCATAATAGAGGTGTGTATATTGGATACTTTTTCTTCCATTCTTGTGATACTTTGCTCAGAAGAACATTTTCCAGCTCCATCCATGTGAACATGAAGGACGTAAAGT